CTTAAAGGCCGGTCCATGAAAATATTGTCGGGCATAAACCGGTCCGTGGCGCAAAAAAGGTTGGGGACCGCTGATTTAAGGGACTGATAGGAAGGCAAAAAAACCCCAAACTTAAATAACCACTTATTACATCTAAGGTAAGCAGAAGAGCATCTCTGAATCCCTCAACCACTGAAGCAGATGGGCTCCAGCAGCAGAAGAACACACAGTGTCACTTCACTCTGCTAAGAACTGGAAACTGAGGCTAAAATCCTCACAGGCTCACCAAAATTGAACAATAGAAGACTGGGAAAAATGTTGTGTGGTCTGATGAGTATCAATTTGTGCAGCAGATGACAGAGTCAGATTTTGGTGTAAACAACATGAAAGCATGGATCCAACCTGCCTTGCATCAATAGTTCAGGCTGATAGAGGTGTTAAAGTGTGGGGGATATTTTCTTGGCACACTTTGGGCTCGTTAGTACCAGCTGAACATCGTTTAAATGCTATAGCCTACCTGACTATTGTTGCTGACCATGTCCACGGCTTTATGGACACAGTGTACCCAACAGGATTACATGTCATGTCACAAAGCTCAAGTAATCTAAAACTGGTTTTCTGATGAAGTCACCGAGTTCACTGTACTCAAACAGCCTCCACAGTCACCATATCCCAATCTAATAGAGCGCCATTACGATGTAGAAGAAAAGAAGATTCACATAAATGGCGTGCAGCCGACAAATCTGCAGCGACTGTGTGCTCACATCATGTCAACAGCTGAGGAATGTTTTAGGCACCTTCTTGAATCTAAGTGATGTAGAATTAAAGCAGTTCTGGTGTTAAAAGAGGATCCACCAGGTGACTTAGTAATGTGTCCCTAATAAAGTCGCCAGTGAGTATATAGGAATGTGAACAGCATTCTCAAATTAGATTAATCCATGTTTGAATCACCTATCACAGCTGAGAGTGGCAATATATTGTCCTTGGGGATCCCAGGTAACCCCCTGCACGTAGCTCTTGTGGTCATTCAAGATAGAAAGCTTCTGTCCTAAAAACACAAACAACAAAATAGACAGAAAGTCAAAAATAACACCAGATAAAAGCATCACAGATAAAATGTAAGCACCCACAAACCTTTATTGATGTCCCACATGATAGCTGTGTTATCAACAGATCCAGACACCATGAAGTTTCCATCACGTGTCCAGCAGATGTCATACACATCCTCTATGTGCCCTCTGGAAAGAAATCAGATGATAGCAAATGCCTTTCTATAACCACATCTCATGGGCATTATAGTTATAAGAGCTTCAACAACCAGAATGCCACACAAAGTAATTAAACACCATTTATGACTGAGTCTCACTTAGTTGACCTTAGCAAACATTAGCTCTTGCCGTTCTAGCGTACCTAAGCGTTTTGACCACAGTCCAGCTCTCCTTGTTTAGCTGAGCATCCTCATCCTCCTGAAACACAGAGGCCTGCTCGGGCTCCTTGGAGTCGTTGAGCTTCCACAGCAGAATTAACGCATCTACATCAAAATGTTAAAAGGCCGCTATTATTGTTTCCTAAAAAAACATGTTCAGTTTTGAGAACAAAAACAACAGTTGCTTTTAAATAGAAACACGCATGTTTGCAATGGAAAAAAGGCTGAGAAGTGTCTGTCTACTACGTGGAACATACCATCTCCTCCTGAAGCAAGCAGCTCTCCATTGGGGCTAAAGCGCACTACATTGACAGCTTTTGTATGTCTAGCCAGATTAGACAGAAACTCTACCACCGCCTTCCCGTCTGGACCAGCATCCACCCGCCACAGCTGCAAAAACATCATTAGGAAAAGAGATCATTAAAACTTCTCGGTAAATTGTCCGTGCAACATACAGCACTTCACAAACAATACTCCGTCCACAGATTAATTTTAGTAGGATAAAGGTTATAAAAAAGGGTAAATGTATTAAAAATCTTAATACTTAAATAACTGCTATTAGGTGGATCCTGTGGGTGAATCATCCCTTTAAGGATGTCACGTGTCTCGATAATTTAAAACCTTGCTGTACGCAAACATGAAAACATCGCATTGCTTGATGGTGCATCATGACTTAGAGACTGTCACCAGTGTCTGAGAAGGAAAAAACAAAAACAGGACTACTTTTGACTGCTCTGTTAGTCACAAGGGGCCACCACAGTGAGTAGTTCTCCTTATCTGATTTGGCAAAGAGTGTTATACAGAATGCCTTTCCTGATGCAGCCCTCCCAGGGATTCGTGCCTCCTCCAGATCTCAGACTAAGGATCTTTGACTTGTTGTGTTAACCAGTAGCCTATGGGCCTTAAGAGAGGCATTCTCTAAGGGCTAAAACAGGCCTGAAAAAGTCTCTGTAAACAAAAGGTCAATAATCACCCTGACAAATGCACAGTGAAACTCTTGCTTAAATGTACAGTTGTGGCCAGAAGTCTACATACACTCTGGTCCTTCAAAATCCAAGAAACTCTGTGAAGATCTAAGAAGGAGAATTGTAGATGTAGATTGTAGGATTCTGCCTGAGAAAGATGCCACTGCTCCAAAACTGACACCTTTAAGTTTGACTGAAATGCCCACGTGAACGAGGGCCTTCTGGAGAAGAATTTTATGGTCAGACGAGACAAAGATTGAGCTTTTTGGTCACAATAAAAAGACGTTTGTTTGGACGAGTAATGGTGAGGTTTTCAAACCCAAGAACACTGCACTAACTTTAAGCACGGTTGTGGCAACATCATGCTCCAGGGCTGTTTTGTAAGTGGTACTGGTAGATTGCACAAAGTGGATGATGTAGTAAAAGATTCTTATTCTGTTTCCTGTTTTCCTCATTCTCCCTCACATGACCGCCATTACCTCGTTTCCACTCTTGACTTTCTCAACACTGATTGGTTCTTGATTTCTTTGTGCCTTAAATAAACTCACCTGGCATACATTGTATAAGGACTGCACTCCCTTTCACTCACTCTTTTCACTCCCACATAGGGCGGCGGCTGAGGTGAGTTTGATTTGTTCTTCTGGGTTTAAACATTTATGTTCAAGTTAATGATTTAAAGTCCAACCTTGTTTTCTTTTTTAGAGTTTAGCAGTCCATGTGTGTCTTCCTTTAAGTTAAAGTGAAATAAACCAAGACATAAGGAAAATCAATGATTTGGCTGTTTTCTTTGCATTCTGACCAGATGAAACCCATGGTGATAAACTTTACCTTACCTTTGAACCTCCTACCTAACAGATGGAATCTTATAGGAGAATTACCACCAAATTATTCAACTTCACCTCAAATCAGCAGTAAAACAGGTGTTCCAACAGAAGAATGATACCAAAAACACATCCATAACTGGTTTTAGAAAGGATAAAGCAAGCCAGCATTAAACGTTTGGAATGGCCTTCCCAAAGCCCAGACCTCAATGCTCATCAGAATGTATGGACTATGTTTAAAAGCCAGACCTGTACCAGGAAACCTACCAATGTAAATGAACTGTGCCAAAAAGAACAATGAAATATCCAGCCAGAGTGATACCGGAAGCTTGTTAATGGCTACAAAAAACATCTTGTTCAGGTGCAACTTGCAGTTTATTAATAAGGGTGTATATAGTGTATGTATATATTTGAACCTCCATTTTTAATTTTGACGTTTGGATTAGAGAAAATCCAGAATAAATTCATACTTGTGTACTAGATTCTTATTTTATTTTTTTTTAACTCATTAAAGATGTACGCTGTACAATCATTTCACCCTGGAAAAAGAAAAGTCCCAAGGAATCACTAAAAGCCCAAAATGACCATGACATTCATGATGAGTATATGGAAGATTATAATTACAACTGTACTCTGTCTACCTCCACTGGGACTGTTCAGAAAGTTAACAAAAAAAAATTTTCTCCATATTATCTCTGTTTCTGTGTCCTTATTCTTAAGGCAAGTCTTTTTATGACCAATTAATGAAGAAAAAACAACTGATGGGTACAAATACCTGCGTCTTCTATATCCGTGAGACTCACTAAATCCTGCTGCATTTATAGACTAAATCACTGTTTTTTCCTTTATTTGACATTTTATTTAATTAAAAACAAAACAAAATAAAAATCGTCGACCTCTTAGGGAGTTAATCAGATGTTCTGACCGCTGTCTCCACTCACCCTGACTGTGGTGTCCACTCCAGCTGTGGCCAGTCGATGAATGCGTCCATCTGAGCTGTGCTGAAAGTCCAGACTGTACACTGGCTCCTTGTTGTGCCATGCTATCTCACACGTTACCACCTTCATTTCTTTTCAATTTTTATATTCGGCACCGACCTCAAGGGATAAAAACACGGTAAATTCACCACCTAGATTGTTTTCAATCAACTCATATGAACGCATTAGTTAGCAAAACGTACAACAATGGACTCTGAAAGACGGATTAGAGAAAACAGTTTGATAAAGCCGCTCATTTGGCTACACTAACATATAGAGCACAGCTGGCTAACACGTTAGCAGTTAAACTGGCAGGTTAGTTGGACTGGTTTACGGCTAAACACATGAACACATGAACATGAACATTTGTGTTAAGTTACTGTTAGCTAAGAAGCGTGCCCGTTATAGATGCAGACGAATTACAAGTGCTTATTAATCTGAACGAAGATAACTGGAAGTACATGACAGTATTTACCTTCTCTGTTGTCCAGCTCAGTCAGAATTGGTAAATTCCCGCGTACCAGACTCTCAAAACTTCCGGTCTACCGTGATTGGACAAAAACACGGAAAGGGCGGGGACAATTGATAGTCTTGACTTTTTGTTTTTTCCTAACGTAATCCGCAAAGATCTTTGGCCATCCCCTCGTTTCTTCATTCATTCATTTTGCTATGTAATAAACACCAGACACGGCGACTTAGTGAAGCGTGCAAACATACGTTGAAATACAGAATATAAGGCAA